AAATAATGCCGGGTGCTAAAGCCTGGGCCTATGTAAATACACTTCCAAAGTTAGGCTGCACTCATGGTCTCCAAAAAATCTAAAATAATTTATTTCAGGAGGAAAGTCCAAAATGTGGACTGAAACGTCGATCTTTTAACTATTTGAAATCGCGTATTTTCGATTTTATGGAGACCGTGAGTGCAGCCTAACTTTTGGAAGTGTATGTGTATATATATATATATATAAATATAAATATTACAAAATTAATATTTTTTTTCATAATATGATATATTAAATAATTTTTAAATTCTATCAAAAAAATTAATTATTTGTAAAGCTTATCAACAAATATTAAACCTATGTCATGTCATAAAGACAGTGGCGTACACATGACCCATGGGGCCCCGGTGCGAAAATTGATCTGTGGCCCCCCCCCCCGCGCGCACGCGGGCCGGGCCGCAACACATGGCGGTGGGCACCTGGTCGCAGGGGTTACAGGGCTGCGACCCCTGCGACCGCAGTATGTACGCCAGTGCATGCAGATGCACACACACTTAAAGGACCACTCTAGGCACCCAGACCACTTCAGCTTAATGAAGTGGTCTGGGTGCCAGGTCCAGCTAGGGTTAACCCATTTTTTCATAAACATAGCAAACTGCTGTGTTTATGAATGGGTTAAGTCTTCCCCTATTTCCTCTAGCGGCTGTCTCATTGACAGGTGCTAGAGGCGCTTGCGTGCTTCTCACTGTGATTTTCACAGTGAGAGCACTCCAGCATCCATAGGAAAGCATTATGAATGCTTTCCTATGTGACTGGCTGAATGCGCGTGCAGCTCTTGCCGCGCGTGCGCATACAGCCGACGGGGAGGAGAAGAGGAGGATCGGAGGAGGAGAGCTCTCCGCCCAGCGCTGGAAAAAGGTAAGTTTTACCCCTTTCCAGAGCCGGGCGGGAGGGGGTCCCCTGAGGGTGGGGGCACCCTCAGGGCACTATAGTGCCAGGAAAACAGTATGTTTTCCTGGCACTATAGTGGTCCTAAAGGACCACTACAGACACCCAGATCACATCAGCTCAATGAAGTTGTCTGGGTGTCAGGTCCCTCTAGTTTTAACCGTGCAGCTGAAAACATAGCAGTTTCAGAGAAACTGCTATGTTTCACTGAGGGTTAATCCAGCCTCTAGTGGCTGTCTCTGACAGCCGCTAGAGGAGCACACTGAACGTCCATAGGAAAGCATTGAGTAATGCTTTCCTATGGGCGGTTTGAATGCGTGCGCGGTCGCATTCTGAGCATTCGGAGAGGCTGAGGGATCCCCAGCGCCAAGGGAGTCGGCGCTGGAGAAAGGTAAGTGCTGAAGACACACACGCACACACACACTTACAGACGCATACACACTAGCTAACAGACACACACATTTACTGACAGAGACACAGTCAGCGACAGACATACATACACACTCACAAAACATACACTCTCATTGACAAACACACACTCCCTAACAGACATCAAACAGACTCACTAACACACACACACTCAGTAAGACACACACAGTAACACACTCACTGACACTCACTAGCAGACACACACACTAACACTCACACTCACTCTAACACACACACTAACACTCACTCTAACACTCACACACACTAACACTCACACTAACACTCACACATTTTTTTTTTGTTTTTTTTTAAATGTAATCCCCTCAGCCTCCTTACCTTTTGGAGTGCTGGGGGGATTCCCTGGGGTCCAGTGGCCCTGCTGATACCTGGCAGGCGGGTGGCTGGTCGGGCAGGCGCGCGCGCGAGGGAGCACTCAGTGCTTCCTCTTCAGCTCCCTCGCGCGCTGACGTCATCTTCTGGCTCCGGTATCAGTGCGGTGCGCGAGGGAGCGGAAGAGGAAGCACTGAGTGCTCCCTCGTGCGCCTGCCTGCCCAACCGGCCACCCGCCTGCCAGGTATCGGAAGGCCAGCCTCGGGGGGGCCCTGGGGTGGTCGGTTCCTGGGCCCCCCAGGGGAAGAGGCTGGCCCTGTGAGTACATACCGGGTCGCGCTGCCACTACATAAAGACCTGCATTTTGCTAATAATTGTTTTATTTTATTATGCCATATGCTACAGTCATGGAAAACAGAAAGTACACCCTATTTGAATTCTATGATTTTACAAATCAGGACATAATAACATTCACCTGGTCATTAGCTTGTCTTAAAATTAGGTACATAGAAACCATAACTGAACAACAACACATGCCATATCACACTGTGTCATGATTTATTTAAGAAAACGAAAGCCAAAATGAAGACATCATGTGTACACCTTATGAAACTAAGTACACCTTATGATTCAATAGCATGTAGGCCCACCTACAAACAACCTACAATCCCATTCCTGTGCCCCCCCTTCCCCCCTGTGCCTCTTTTCAGTCCTCCCTACCCTCCTGTGCCCTTTTTTGTCCCCATCCTGTGCCCTTCTTCAGTTCCCCTTGTTCCCTTCTTCAGTTCCCCCTCCCATCTTGTGCCCTTCTTTTGACCCCATCTTATGCACTTCTTCAGTACCCTCTCCCCTACTGTCCCTCATTTCACTTCTGTGCCCTTCTTTTGTTCCCCCTTATGTGGCCTTCTTCATTGCCCACTCCCTTCCTGTGCCCTTCTTATGTGTCCCCCATTCCTCTCCTGTGCCCTTCTTCCGTCCCCCCTCCTGTTCCCTTCTTCAGTTTCCCCCTCCTCTCCTGTGTCAACTCTGTGTGTTGTCATGTCTGTCATGTCACACAGTTTGGAAAGCTCTGCTCTATACTCATGGCAATCATTTTAGTGTGGTTACGCACTTTACTGGATTATTTCCTTTTAATAGCAATTTTAATAACCTATTTCACACACTCATATGTGGGTTTATTTGTATTTTATCTAGTTAATTTAGAATAGCAGCAAATTTATACCTGCAGAATCCTCTGGTGTAATCTAGAGTGTTTTATGCAGGGCCGTCTTTAATATTGATTGGACCCTGGGCAAGCATCTGCTTGGGCCCCCTGGGCATGCAATCACTCCCTCCACCCCAACCTAGAGGCGAAACTAATGTAGAGAGTGCCTTGCCTGCCCTGTAGCACAAGAGTAAAGAAAATATAGATCCCCATCTGTCATACAACTCCTGCGATGCTATGCCAGGTGGGGATCTACCATCCTTGCAGGGTTGTATTTTTGAGCAGTGTTTGTGCAATTGAATGTCAGCATGTTATTGTATAGAGTGTATGTGTGCATGTAGGGGTGTATTTGTATGTACTGTTACCATTGGAATGCAGTGGTGTACTTGTGTGTAGTGTTTGCGTTTGAATGCAGTAATGTGTGATTGTCTGTAGTGTTGGCTTTTAAATGCAGGTGTACTTTTGTGTGTAGAGTTGGTGTTTGTATATAATTTTAGCGTTTTAATACAGGAATGTGTTTGTATGTAATGTTTGTATTTGCATGCAGGGGGTTGTTTGGATGTAGTGTTGTGTACATTTGTGTGTAGTATTGGTGTTTCAGCAAACTGGTGTGTTTGTATGTAATGTTTGTGTTTGCAGGGCTCTGTTTGCATGTTGTGTGATTTCTATAACACATATACACATACACATTAACACGCAGATACACACATAGGCACACTGACACATGCTCACACCTTGACACATACTGGCACATACACACACACACTCAGATACACACCCTTTGACACACAGATACAAGCACTTTGATACACACACACACTGGCACATCCACACACAGAGGTACACACACACACTGACACAGGTATGTACACACACTCAGATACACACATACATAAAGGTATAAATGCAGGGGTGTATATGTGTACAGTGCTAGAGATGGAGTGTATTTGTGTTGGCATTAAAATGCTGGGATGTATGCATTACCACACACTCAGATGCACACTTACACACACTGACACATACATACATACACACACAAACACACACAGGTACACATACACACTGACACACAAGTACACATACACAGGTATACATACACACAGAAACACTGACACACAGACAAACACAGCCAGATACAAACACTGACACAAACACAGCCCGATACACACACTGACACAAACACAGCCAGATACACACAAGGACATAAACACAGCCAGATACACACACACATATATGTGTACATTTACATATTTTAATCTCTGCCTTCTAACAGCTCTTGGACAGCAACTCCCAGCATCCTTGGCCATAATAATGTCTCAACTCTGTTCTTACATACCCTGGTCCAGAATTTGGCAAAAGTGACATTTGGAAATGGTATACAGCCTTTGATAACACTTGATGCAATAATATGTTAAAATAAATACTTTTTAAATTTATATTTAATAGGGAACTGTCAGGTTCTTCTAGGATTTTTAACATGTACTTATTCCCTGTGTGTTACATTACAAACACCAACACTTGAATAAAAGTGATATCAGAAATAAGCAAAACAAAAAAACAAAACATATTTAGGCACCCTCCTGTCTCCTTACCTTTTGGGTACAGAAAGGTGGCTTCCCTGGGGTCCAGTGAGAGCTTGCTGGCCCAGGCTGATGGGAGTCTGCCATCAGCTTTCTCAGTCCCTCTCCCCAACAATGCTTGCATCCGTGTGGTGTGTGCCTCCTCCCCAGCGGCACTGAGGAGGAAGTGATCTGACCTCACTTCCTCCCAGCATGCCACGGAGAAGAAAAGGGATCACAGGGCAGTGTGTGAGGGGCTAGCTGTGTGTTTGTATTCAGCCAACCCCCATATTACAAGGGCCCAGTCCAGAGCAGTATTAAAGGGCTGTGGCCCCTGATTACCTCAGGTGCCGTAGGGGGCCCATGTGGCAGCTGCCTTAGGGCCCCCAGGAGTAACTGGGCCCGGGGCAGCTGCCCCTTTTGCCCCTCCTTAAAGACGGCCCTGGTTTTATGTATCTATTTTTTGTGGACTAGTCACTAAACTGTGATTTTATAGTTAATCTTGCAATGTCAAGCTAGATATCTCAAGGTTAAAACCAAATTAAAATGGCTGCTCTAAAAGGTTTTAAAATACTTCATAGGTGAAGGCTACAGATACACTATATGGACACAAGTATTGAGACACACCTCTTAACCCCTTAAGACCGCTGCCAAATGTATAAGTTCTGATCAAAACAGAACGTAAACAAGACCTGGCATTTGCGCTATATGTCTGTCCAACCGTAATTCACCTCTTTCATATTAAATGCACCCACACTTATTATATATAATTTTATTCAGGAGAAACGGGGCTTTCGTTTAACATCAAATATTTACGTATGAAACATAATTTAATATGAATAAAATATAAAAAAATTGGAGAAAATAAGATTTTTTAAAATTGTTTTAGTTCTACGTGACATTTTAACTGTGAATGTCAAAATACTGTTTGCTTTTACTGCAGTAACATACACATATTTGTATTCAGCGATGTCTCACGTGTAAAACAGTACCTCCTATGTACAGGTTTTATGGTGTTTTGGGAAGTTACAGGGTCAAATATAGTGTGTTACATATTTCAGTTTTTTCACATTGAAATTCGTCAGATTGGTTACATTGCCTTTGAGACCATATGGTAGCCCAGGAATAAGAATTACCCCCATGATGGCATACCATTTGCAAAAGTAGACAACCCAAGGTATTGCAAATGGAGTATGTCCAGTCTTTTTTAGTAGCCACTTGGTCACAAACACTGGCCAAAGTTAGTGTTAATATTTGAAAATGCAAAAAACTAATTTGAACGCAAATTTTGGCCAGTCTTTGTGACTAAGTGGCTACTAAAAAAGACTGAACATACCCCATTTGCAATACCCTGGGTTGTCTACTATTGCAAATGGTATGCCATCATGGGGGCAATTTTCATTCCTGGGCTACCGTACGATGTCAAAGGCAACCTGGCGAATTTTAATGTGAAAAAACTGAAACGCAAGCCTTATATTTGACTCTGTAACTTTTGAAAACACCATAAAACCTGTATATTAGGGGTACTGTTATACTCGAGAGACTTCTCTGAACACAAATATTAGTGTTTCAAAACAGTAAAATGTATCACAACAATTATATCGTCAGTGAAAGTGCCATTTGTGTGTGAAAAATGCAAAAAATGTCACTGTCACTGACGATATCGTCGTTGTAATACATTTTACTGTTTTGAAACACTAATATTTGTGTTCAGTGAAGTCTTCCGAGTAAAACAGTACCCCCCCATGTACAGGTTTTATGGTGTCTTGGAAAGTTACAGGGTTAAATATAGTGCTAGAAAATTAAATTCCCTGAACTTTCGGCCTGGGTTGTCAGGCAGGTCCTGCAAATTGTAATTAATAAAATGACCTAATTATGTAAAATTATTACATAAATATATACGTAGAATTATTATATATATATATATATATATATATATATATATATATATATATATATATAATACACAAGATCCAGCGCACTCACCTATCCACTAAACAGCAACTTCAATGTTGAAAGATTTTATTTGTTTTTTTAAAAACACCTAATCTAGGCAAAAATAATGGGGGTTTAGTTACATTATATGATCATACATTGCATAAGCCTGCCACAACGTCAATGTACCCCATCTTTGGCAGGTCCTACACTAACAGCCTAATGTCTGCTCTTATGAGATTAACCTACTTGGGGAAAAAAATTCCATCTGGAGGGGTTTTGCACCCCTCCCTGTCACAGGTGCCTCATCCCAGGGCCCTATTTAGCCTTGTACTGCAGAGAGCCCCAGATGGAATTTTTTTCCCCAAGTAGGTTAATCTCATAAGAGCAGACATTAGGCTGTTAGTGTAGGACCTGCCAAAGATGGGGTACATTGACGTTGTGGCAGGCTTATGCACCCCCTCTTGTTTTATATATATATATATATATATATATATATGTATATAATGTTTTTATTATTTTTATTTATATATAGGTATATATATAGTGATATATACGTATATACTTATGTATATAGATATATATATATTATTTTGTTCTACATGTATTTTGATATCAATATATATATATTAATTTTAAAATACAGTTAAAACGAAATTACGCATGTATATATATTTTTTATCTATTTGTTTTTTTATTATTTTTAATTTTATTTTTTAACGTATTTATATATTTATTTATTTTTTATTATATATAAATATATATATAATGAAACTTATATATATATTTAATCAATATCATTGTACGTGTATTTTGATATTAATATATATATATATATATATATATATATATATATATATAAAATTATGTATATATTAATAGTAAAATACACCTAGACAGTGTATGTGTGTGTGTATGTATATGTGTATATATATACTTAGATCATATATATAATAAGTATATATATGATCTAAGTATATATAATGTAATTTTCAATTGTTTTAACATCTTTTATTTTCATTTTCAGACAGCAGGGGGAGTACCTGTCATTACAGGCACTCCCCCTGCTGGCAATGCTTTGGACGGCCATACCGTCTATGTGATCGCGAGGTCCTCACAAGGACCTCGCGATCACATGGCCCAGGGGGGCCGAAGAGGGTGGAGGGGGACGCCCTGGGCGACTGGGTAAGTACAAAAGATCGCAGGGCGTTCTATGCCGCCCTGCGGCGTTTAGAGCCATCTAAATAAGGAAGGCATAGAACGCCTTGCGGTCTTAAGAGGTTAATTATTGAATTCAAGTGTTTCAATAGGACCCATTGCCACATGTGTGTAGAATCAAGCACCTCCCATGCAGTCTACATTTACAAATATTTGTGAAAAAGAGGGTTGTTCTGAATAGCTCAGTAAATTCAAGTGTGGTACTGTGACAGGATGCCACCTTTGAAATAAGTCAGTTTGTGAAATTTCATCCCTGTTAGATATTCCAAGGTCATCTATAAGAGGTAGTAGTGGAAGTGTTTAGGAATGGCATCAACTCAGCCACAAAGCCAAAGACCACGTTAAGTCACAGAGTAGGGTCACCAAGTGCTGAGGCGCATGACACGTATAGGTCTCCAACGCTCTGCTGATTCCATAGCTGAATAGTTCCAAACTCCAACTGGCATTATTATAAGCATAAAACTGCTTTATGGAATGGGTTTCCATGGCCAAGCAGATGCATGTATGCCTCACATCACCAACTACAATGCCAAGTGTTGGATCGAGTGGTGTAAAGCACACTGCCACTGGACTCTGGAGCAGTGAAAACATGTTCTGTGGAGTGACAAATAATGCTTCTCTGTTTTTAGTCTTATGGGTGAGTCTGGGTTTGGATGATGCCAGGAGAATGTTACCTACCTGACTGTATTGTGCCAACTGTGAAGTTTGGTAGCGGAATGATAATGGTATAGAGCTTTTTTTGAGGAGTTGGGGTAGCCCCTTATTTCCCGTGAAGGGAAATCTTAATGCTTAAGATATTTTGGACAATGCTATGCTTCCAACTTTGTGGTAACAGCTTGGAGAAAGCCCTTTTCTGTTCCAGCATGACTGTTCTCCAGTGCACACAGCAAGGTCTATAAAGACATGGTTGGATGAGTTTCATCCAGGGCCTGACCTCACAAATGTACTTCTTGATGAATGAGCATAAATTTCCACAGAAACAGAAAAGCCTTGCCAGAAGTGTGGAAGCTTTTATAGCTGCAAAGGGGAACCTAAATATACATACAGAATAAGGTGGAGATTCCTCTTATTTTAATAACTGATAATAGCAGGTATACCTAAAAATAAAACAGAATAGAACACATAATAGTGCAATAACGCCTGTATACAATTTTGGAGTTCGACAAATAGATGAAATATCACTCACAAAAAAAAGAGCCTGTAAGTAAGGCTCAAATATCCAGCTTTGTGGGATGTCAAGGTTCCCACTCCCTTCTTTATACTGCCAGAAAATTTCAAATGATGAGGTATCCTCTCAAAGGTGAGTGTAAAGATAAGGTGCTTTATTATAAGTGCACAAGTAATAGTGAACAAAATAAATAAAATCAAAACCTTACAGTTGGTTAGTCTTTTAGAATAGTCTTTTGCAGTAGTCCTTTATTACTTGTGCTCATAAGTAAGAATTTAAATATGCATATGTCATATTAAATTAATATCCCTTTTATTAAAAAATGTACTTGTTTGTTAAAAAAACAGAATGCAAAATGTGTTTGTGCAATAAATGCGAAAAATGCATATTGCAGTTAAACACAAACACCAAAAAAAATACAAAAATTGCTTGTGCCTTTAAAGAGACACCAGAACAATTACAGTTTAATGTAATCATTTTGGTGTGTGTAGTATGTCCCTGCAGGCTTTTTAATGTAAGCATGGCCTTTTCAGAGGAAAGGCAGTGCTTACATTGCTTCCTGGGTTACTACTGCACAATGTGACCCGCAGAAGCTACATAGCGGGCCAGTCACCTAAATTGTGTTTCCCACCTATAATGCCAGGAATACATGCTTGTATTCTTGACACTAAAGTGCTCCATTAAGTGCAAGACATGCTTCGGAAGCCTGTCCTTAAGGGGTTAAATTACGTATATATTATTAGAACTTGACAAAAGAAGCAGTGCGTATCAACTATTATCTCATAGCAGAACTCTATTGTGTTTGGTAATTTTTTTTTTTTTTTTAAGTGAATATAACACTGGAAAAAATTAATGAACAGAATGTGAAAAACATTATTTAAATTGAATTCAACAGAGTTTAAAATTTAAGAATAAAATAGCCAAAAATAGGTGCATACTTTACTTTTTTTTTGCAATTCTGATATTTTTGCTTGAAATTTGAAATTCAGTTTGAGTTCACTTTGAATATTTTGCAATTTTCACTGTAAATAACCATGTTAATATTTTGTAATTAAGAAACTGAAGACTGTGACAGTTCTGACATGTTGAAAATTGGGAAGAGGTTAGTATATTGCAGAAAGGTTAAAGAGACACTATAGTCACCCAGACCACTTCAGCTCAATGAAGTGGTCTGGGTGCCAGGTCCCTCAGGTTTTAACCCTTCAGATGCAAACATAGCATCTGAGAGAAACTGCTATCTTTACATTTGGGGTTAATCCAGCCTCTACTGGCGGTCTTCCTGACAGCCACTAGAGGCGCATCTGCGACGCTGGATGCGAATTTTGCATCCAGCATGCAGAACGTCCATAGGAAAGCATTGAGAAATGCTTTCCTGTGGACTGTTTGAATGCATGTGCGGCTCTTGCCGTGCATGCGCATTCCGCTCCAC